CACACTTGTAGGACACTCTTGTGGGACGCTCTGTGGGACACTCTTGTAGGACACTCTTGTAGGACACTCTTGTGGGACACTCTTGTGGCACACTAGAAGCAGTCCTGCGAGCGTTTCGTACGAGACGTCCTCCAAAAGTCACGCTTCGAGGCTGCGCAAGACGAGCGTTTCGTTCGAGACTTTCTCCAAAAGTCACGCGTCAAGTCTCCAAAACGAGCGCTTCGTACGAGACTTCCTCCAAAAGTCACACGTCAAGTCTCCAAAACGAGCGTTTCGTACGAGACTTCCTCCAAAAGTCACGTGTCAAGTCTCCAAAACGAGCGTTTCGTACGAGACTTCCTCCAAAACTCACATGTCAAAGTCTGCAAAACGAGGATTTCGTACGAGACTTCCTCCAAAAGTCAAGCGGAAACACCCATCGGAGCACACACATCACGCAGCCCTGCCAAGCAGTTTCGCGAGTCCAGCCCCTCCAAACAACACCCGCTCACACGCCAATCCCAATGTGACAGCGACATTCACCTCTACCACAACTCGCGACCTCACGATTCCCTGCGCCTGCCACGAATCTCTCCGCATCCACACGTCTAACGCGCACAAAGTACTGCGCCTGCCACGAAATGTCAACTCCGTCACACCTCGCAACCTCACGATTTCCTGCGCCTGCCACGAAAATCGCACTTCCACACCTCAAAATCAGCACAAAGTACTGTGCCTGCCACGAAAAGTGAGAATATCATCTCACGTGAGCTTCAACAAAATTTGCACCACACCACACGTTTAGAATGATTTCGACCCGTTCTGAGCACACTCCCATCCACGAAAATCGCCATTTCAGCTGAGACTTGTCACGAAAACAGAGCTTCGACGCCACACCCTGAAATGCAAATCCCAATGGCACGGCCACATCCAACACCCCAAAAACACGACTCTCCAAACGCTAATCCCAATGGAACTGCGCAGTAAACTGCGGATCTCTCAAACCACTGCGCCTGTGCAGCGAAATGCATCACGCTTCTTGCGCGACATGTCATTTTCATGCAAATCACAATGGAATAGCGTCGCAAACTGACACGTGACACATCCATGAAAAGTCACTTGCAAAAGCTTCCCCCAATGGCAGCGCCTTAGCGTCCTACTGCGAACGGTTGCGGACGGTTGCGGACGGTTGCGGACGGTTGCGAACGGTTGCGAACGGTTGCGAACGGTTGCGAACGGTTGCGGACGGTTGCGGACGGTTGCGAACATAGAAACAACGGATCGCGAACAAGACTCTACCCCCAGACCCCCAGAGTTAAACGAGAACCCTTCGCTACGCATTCGGGAAAAAAACCTGCTCTATTCCAATGTTTTGAAAAAAACGAAAAAAATGAAAAAGACCCAAAATTGAACGTGCACCCCTTAAGTAAATGCTGCCGCTTCCTCACCAAAAGGAGAACAGTAAAAGTTGATCGTTTATAACATGATGCAAACGCAAACGCGTGCCTAAGCGCCTCTTTACCTTGGGAACCAGCTATTAAAACGTTGTGCAAATTTGCAATCAACTTGGCTTTGGACGGCTGCGTGAATAAGAAAGAGCACCAATCTAGAATGATGCCATTAGATTGACAGACCAGCTGAGACAGCCTTTCCTTTCCTGAATCCGAACCAGGCTGTACTGTTGAGAAAGTAAGCACAACAGCGCATGCCATCCTTGCCTTTTTGTGTTTGTAATCCAAGGTGGGGCACACATTCACTGTCTCAGATCCAAGCAAGCGCAGAGGAAGATTGGTATCGATATTGCCAGATCTTCAAAGATGCTGGTGACGAAAGGCAGACGAGACGAAAACTCTGTTGGACATGTAAAGTATATTTCAGTGCAGAATATATGTGATTGTGGTATTGGAGGCCGTTTCCACCATACCCGTACTCCAAAGACAGATTGGAAAGAATGGTGTCCTGGCATGTCGTTGCACTGTATGGCAACCTGCTATTTATTTGTTTTTGATATTCTTTGGTTTTGTCTTCCTTGCCTCTTATAGACTTCGTTTCCAAGCTCAGGTGGAGCGGCAAGACAGAGAAGAACATGAAAAGTTTGTCAAGAAAGGCATCAAACTTAGGCCTCACAGGATGCCGGCAAAGAAAGGTGTGAAAGCACCCAGACAAACTTGTGACTATCGAGAAAGCAGATGAAGCTTGAAACGTGTTTTAACATGACGAACGCGGACTGTGTTGCAAGCTGCCGAGTTCGCTTTGGCACCAAGGATTGATTACTGCATAGAGCCTGAAAATAGTGCGTTGCGGCCGTTTGTAGATAGTGGGATCCCCAAACAAAGTTATTCAAGTCTACTTTCTGTCCCGGTGCATTTGGGTTCTATTGGTTATTGCAGAGAACAATGAAGAAGACCATACTGTCTTTTGACACAGTAGCACTACGTAAGCACATTGGGCCATCATCACCCAAACCCAGACGATCCCTGATATTTTAAGTTGTGTTTTCATTGATTCATGGTCCCTTCAAGACAAGGAGCCATGCAAGCTTCACAGCGAGGCCCTGTATGATCGCTTTGAAAGCTTGCAGGAGAATGGACAAGAAGCTTTTGACTTTTAAGATATGCTTGTTAGTCTCCAAGCAGAAAGCGACTGCTGTACTTCCAGTAGCTTCATTTGCTACTTGTGATATTTTTTGCGTTAAAGGATTTGCTTGAAAGGCTAATGTGATGCGTCAAAGCCTTTCTGCTCCTCCACAGCCAATAGCACATTTCCGAGCCCAACTGTGGACTCTCTCACTTTCTCTTTCTTGTTCAGCAGCTCATGCCGCATGCCAGTTTTTAGTCCTGAGGCTCTTCGGCCAATTTCTCGACCAAGCCCTCCAGAGGCAACCGAGAAACCCTTTTCTTTGTTCATAGATGTGGTGCAGGTGTAAGTATATAGACGCTGACGCTGGAGGCTCGGAAGTATGGTCTTGATGCTGAGTCTTTGGAGTTGCTACTTCGGCAACACCGAAAGGCCTGGTCAGACCGGTTTGCTCTAGACTGCCACAATTTGCCACACATGCTTCAACACTTTCCCAAGTGGCATAGACACACGGGGTCTTGCAATTTGGAATGTCGGTTCCAGTGCTCAGCGGTTGTGACTTGGTTTAAAGCACAATACTCCCAGCCATCGCAACAAAACGTTGCCCTTAAAGGGGCGGTCCGAGTATATTATGGATCTGGGTGTGAGGTAGAGCTCCGTCTCGGGGGTGGAAAAGATGTAGAATGGATTTTGGACAAGAATCGCCCGTTACGTGGAACTATCTTTGTTTTGTTTCTGCATTTGGCTGCATGCAGTCCCTGCAGGAAGTCCAAAAAGATCCACCTGGAGAGGGTAGCCCTCAGCATGCTTCAGACCTGTTTGGACATGGAGCAGAAGAGGCCTGGGAGTGGAATGAAAGATCCAAAAACCCTTGTGCGTTTTGGAAGGGAACTGGGAGTAGGGAGCTTGGGGTAGAGAAGGCCTCCTGGTGGGCTTGAGCCCTTGTTCAGCCCAAACAGCTGCCCGCCATGACGAAGGGCTACGTAGTCTAGTTGTTGGTTGGCATCATTCCACATATATATATATATCTTCTGATCACATACACCTATCTATATATATACAAATATTTTATATATTACGAAAGCCAGCCGATAGGCTAGGCTTGAGCTTTTAGAGCGAATGAAGTGAGTTAAGGGGGTTTGGAGGGGTGGTCGTTGAGAGGGACATTTTGAGAGGGTGAACCCAGAGCTTGGTGGGGGAGAGCGCTCCAAAGCGAGGGTGACAAAAGCAGTCAAAATGGGGTCTGGTGATGCGAGTGATGCAATGGACGCCGAGTGGTGAATCATTAGCATCATGAAGGGCTTTGGAGGCTATTTGCACAATGGGCATTGAGCAATCGAGTGGAGACAGGGACCCACGTACAGAGCAGACCGCAGCCGCATATAGGATACGAGTTCCCAGGACAACCCGTAACTCGCGAAATACATAGAGAACCGAAAGCGACATGAGTTCAAGTCCATGAGTTTGGATTGAGTTTCGGTGGGGATGCCTGCGAGGTTGACTACATATCCGTATGGTTCCTGCCCCCTAGCAAAAACTATGCTTGCACCATGTCCTCGGTCGAGTGGATGCTTCTCGCGGCGTCCACACGCACCGAACGTTTTTCCGGCTTGCCGGTGCAGATAGATAGATAGAGATAGAGAGAGAGAGATAGATAGATAGATATATAGATAAATTCTATATACTACTGACTCGCCCTGGCCGAGACCAGTCAGCCTGGGTCCACGGCCCAAAGATCTACACACGCAGGTGCCAAAGTCAAGGCCTCTGAGTGAGAAAGGCGAAGAGTTGATGAGAAAGAGAAGAATAAAGAAGCTGTTTGGATCGTTTAATAGAGGCCCCTTTAAAGGAAAAAGATTGTGTTTTGGATCGAGCCAGAACATGACTCACTCAAGTCCAGGCATGTGCATCGATAGACGCGCAAGTCCTCACTCCTTTGCCAGCCCGAGCTACTCCCGCTGGACCTCCCCTTCTGCGCCGTGGGATCAAACGTCCGTGTCCCGGCTAAGACGCGCCCGTTCACTTTTCCAATTCAACGAATGCCACTTTTTGACGCGCCGCAGTATGCATTGCAAACTTCAAACACCCCACCCCAAATGTAACAAACGCAAAATTGTTCTTTTCAAACGCACGCCGTACTCGCGCGCACGCGCGGGCGCGCGGCGACGCTGACTATGGAGAAGGTCTTCCTGCGTGCGCACGTGGTATCCCACCTCTCGAACTCTGACGGCACTACCCCTTCGCTAACGCTGATGTGGCCTTCCAACTTCCATAAGATGCATTCCTTCCTGCGTGTGACAAACACATGCCGTTGCCTTGTGATGATGACCTACACCAACATACAATGTATCGCATTTCTCTTTCACTACTTCTTTCATACCAAACTTATCCCAAAGCCGCCCGGCTTGCTTCTCTGCTCCCTCCATCACCATTACATACGTCCCCCCGCATCCGCGGCACCGCTGCCTCGCAAGCTGCCGACCATGTGTCTTGTGCCGCGACGCCCGCCAGAAAAGAGAGACACTCGTCTGGCGGCTGCTGGCGTTCGTCCCCCTTCACAGGTATGTATATATATTTTTTCAATATATAGATCACTCACGGAGTCCTAAAGTGTGGCAGATTGGCACACTATCCTTGAAAACAAAGCGGGCCGCTGCCACAGCAAAGATGATGAACAGACAAAAGATCCCACGGGCACTTGAGATGGCAAAACCGATGGCTTTACATAAAGAGCGCCAAGAGCAAAAACTTTGCAACAGAGCATCTGCCTGACCTAGACGCTCTGCACTCAACGCTAAAACTAAAAACAACCTGAGATGGACTGTGTGTGTGTTTGGATTTTCACACAGGCCCTTCACCCTACCATTGAGTTTGCATGTTTGTGAGAAGAAATTAGCAATCCGAGTGATTCCGAGTCTGTTGTTTTTATCCTGCAAACATTATATAGAATAGAAAGAACGGGGCATCCCCCCGTGTCAGGTGACTACAGGATCACCCTGAATGAAATTGCCATTTGATTCAGTGCTGTATTCAGGAGTGATCATCTTCAAATTTAGTTTAAATGAAAAACTGCTAAATGTGTGTTCCTATGCAGACAATGTTGGCTGTTTCTGCATGATCATCAGGAACATAACAGGCATTCATGTTGTGAGCTTGTGACACACGGTTTACCAGGTGCCAATGCTTTCTTTGCTCTTGTGCGAAGCGGAGGACCAGCTATTGTTTTCCATGTTGCTTGAAGGGTTGCCGCCCGGGTGCCTTTGGGGCTGCTGCCACAGGCTGAACTGAAGGATGCTGACGAACAGAAAGCCAGCGAGGCTGGAAAACTCAGAGCGAAAACAGCTTGGCATTCTGAGATATTCTGAGCAACAGTGAGCGAAAACAGAGCCAGTGACTTTCAGGAGTGCAAGGCTGGGAAGTTTGATGTGGGCCCTGTTGAGAGTATTGATGACTGTGTGGGGGGACGTGGATTGCGTGTTTGAAGGGTGTTGAAGAGAAGACACCCGAGGCCAGGCGGCGGAAACCTGTTGACGGATGGATGATGGATGTTTGTGACGTCACTTGCTGCTTACGCCCTTTGAGGTTGCGTTGCGGGAGTTCTTGTGCTTGCACGCGCAAACCATCAAGGCCCGGTTGTGCTCGGACATTGACAACAGGAATGTAGCTGCATCTGTTTCATGGTCTTTCTGCTGGCCACGGTGACAGGATTGTGAGGAGACTGCAGTACGTGTTTCCAGTCTGGTCAATCTGTGGGCGGTTTTTCATCATATAACTAGTTAGATTGAACAAGTAGTTAGATTGAATGAAAAGAACCTGTAATTCCATGCAATTCTAACATTTCAGTGAACTGACACAAAACTTATCAAAATTGCACTGCTAGAGGAGAACTCAATGAACAAACGTGGTTTGGCAGCACCAAAGGGAGAAAAAGACTGTTAACATAGCACAGGCCACGTTTCTTTAGGTGATCCCAGAATGCAGAAAATTCCCAACCACCAGTGTGAATCTAACAACTTGCACATCTCGTGGGAATATAGATTTTGGGTCAGTAGCCCGTAGCAGTAGGCAGTAGGCAGTCAGTAGTTCGCGGTAGTAGGCAACAGGAGGCAGTAGTAACCAGTAGTAGGTAGTCAACAGTCTGCAGAAGTATGCAAACGTACCACAGCGCTTTTGGCCTTATCGCCTCAACGTGAAACTGCGTCATACTGCGTCGGATTGATTTCCCAGCAAGAGAAAGCAACCGTGACGGAACCAGTACAGTAGTTCAGGTGTTCCTAATTAAAATTGACATGTCGTGCAGCCATGCAGCCTGGATTTCATTGGATTTCTCTAGATGTTTGTTTGGCTCTTTCGGGAAGTTTTGGGAATGTATCACAATCGTGTAGAAAGCAGAACATGCAAACTGCAGTTGCATCTATAAAGTCTGAAATTCCTTGTTGTGAGGAGAGAGACTTGCAGCTTCTCGCTGCCTACGAAGAAAGGGCCGCGCAGGAGAGATTACATGATACTATTTAAAACGACTAATATAGCAAGCGATGGCCTCCAACACATCTCCATGGGCTTTGCACGAATGAAAGAGACTCGATAGATTCCTGACACGTTGACGAAGGCCTTCAAAGCATCATTCTATGAGGAAGAAGCTGCCAGGTGCCGGTGTGCCTGGTGTGCCAAGCTTTTGCTTTGGGACTGGAGGAGTTGTGAAAGTGTCGGGACGATGATTCAACTGATGCAACCTGCCGGGCAGTTCATGGGAGGCTGCGTGAATGGAGCTATGCTTATGAAGCTGCCGCAAAGGCAAACCGCATGACATTGTGC